GACAAACAATGCCCCATCTACTTGCTACATTTCCCTGTCCCCCCACCCGAAAGAGTAGTCACCCTAGTCCTGGTGCTGTCTGGAGGAGAGACTGAGAGCCAGCCAACGTTAGAAAAGTAAATTAAACTCCTGGGGCGATTCTGCTCACAGGGAGCTGGACCTGGGCCAGCCAGTCTTGGTAGCACCACTCATTTCAGGCTGTGAGTTGTCCGCTGAGCCAGGGGAGACTTGGCACTTTCCTAAGGTCTCATCCAAGTTTGTCCAGAGCTGCCGGTTTGGGAAGCCAAGCCTTGGTTCCAGAGATCAGGATTGGGATACCACACACATGTTCTGAATCTGCTTCTGTCTGTGTCTCTCTTTCTCTCCATCCTGACAAGAAGATTCCTCCTCAGACATGTTTTGATGGACACAGATTTGGGAAGGACATAAATTATGGATCTTGTGAACTTAAACTGATTCTTAAACCAAAAACAAACCTATTGCTTTTCAGTTGATTCTGACTCACAGTGACCCTATAGGGCAAAGTAAAACCAGCCCACAGGGTTTCCAAGATTGTAATCTTTCTTTCCAGGAAGGCTGGTGAGTTGAAACCTTGGACCCTCCAGTTAGCAGTCCACTTGCCTCCAGGGTTCCAAGAGACACCCATTTCTTAAATATTATCTTACCACACATTGGTTGTGGTCCTTCTAAATTGATTTGCTGCTTGGCTTTCTGGTCCTGTTTGAGGAAAGCTGAAAACTGGCCAGAAGTAAGGAATGGTGAGGATGAGTAGTTGAGGCCCACTTTTCCAATGGGAGGATCCCTTTGGCCTGCTTCATATCTAGGCGCTCCTCCCTGAGGCAGTTCCTCCAGATGTTAGGGAGCAGCTAGCCCCTGCTTGAGTCTAACTCAAAGGAAAACAAAACCACGCCACTGAGTTCATAACTGACTCATAGCTGACCCTCCAGCAGGTTTTCAGAAGCAGTAAATCACATGGGAGGAACCAGCTCATCTTTCTTCTGAGGAGCAGCTGGTGGATTTGAACTGCCAAAGAGCCATGACCTTTCAGCTAGCAGTGCATCTCTCTATGGAATGCTCCCTTCTCTTCTAAATCCATAGAGATTCATAATGAAACATACCCGTTTCTGTCCTCACTTAGGATTTAAAGACATATTGCCCTTTTTTTCATTGATACCCTGAGGTTAGCTGAATTCTGATAGTAGAGGGATTATGCGCTGGAGTGCTAGTGAAAAGGCCCAGATTCAAACCAACCAGTGATGCTGATATGGCAGACTGCATTCTGCATCCATAGACTGGATAGCAATGGTTTATGTTTGTCTTGGGGCATTTTTCTCCTTGTTTTTTCAGTTTGCTGTCAGTTGGCAAAAGTCCTTTCTCAATCCTCAGTTCAAGCAAGTGATGAGAGCCACTTTCCAGAGAAATCAAATGGCTAATTGAGCTATTATTCAAACATTTCTATTTAAACCTCAAAGGGGGCAGGGGCAAGAAGAGAAGAGGTTAGTTTAGCTGTTTGGTTTCATGGGATTTTTAAAGATAGAGTGTGGAGTTACAGAATGGTCCATGTTAAATCTGGTTTCTTATACTGGAAGTGAGGGGTTTCCTGAACCCGGGGGCATTGTTTCAAAAGTCAAAAATACTCTTCTGGTTTGTGTGTTTGCTTTGTTGTTTGGGCTAAAGAGGATAGAAAGGAGAAAGATGAGGACGCTGAATCATAAATACTATTGGTTTCTTGTCAGTAACCCTCCCCTAAGTCTCAAGAGGAAAAGAAATTAACTCATTATTTAAAAGGACTCTAAGTGTATTAGGACATTTAGATGTGTGTAGGAGCCTCTCTTAAAAATTGGGCTATAATGCTGTCACTGGGGATAGGAAGATGGAAGTCTGGGACTTGCTCATGGGCTAGGCATTTGTGTAGGTGTAGCTCTCACAATGCCAAAGTGTCTTCACATGGAAATACTTCAGATTAAAGGCAGGCCTTCAAATCCTCCTGTTTGCTAAGGTGCATTTATCCTATAGCAAGGCCTAAGCAAACATTCAGTCTCTATTGGCACAAGTTCTGTTCCTAAGCTTCCCTCCCTGCTCACCCTCACCCCAAAAGAAGGAGCCTCCTAGTTTGTCTCATTTGCAGTCATGTGTTCTCAGCATTATTATGGAGGTTATTCAGTTATATTGGGAGCTAGATTATGACGTCAGAAAATATCCTTTTCAGATGAGGCAGCAAGGGTCCTGGGTATATAATGGGGAGACTTTCTACAGCAGGTAATAAACAGGGTAGCTTGGAAGAGATACCTGCTTTCTAATAATTGCCTTTGGAGGAAGAAGAAACGGCTTTTTACAGGAAGTTTTTCTTCCTTTAAGACTTACTTTTACTTTTCTGAAAAACAACTGGGGAAAAATATTTCTGGAAGATACTGCTAGAGAAGATCTCCCTCCTTTGGCCAGAAGAGCAGAAAAAACTAAATCAAGGAAAAGGTGAAGTAATGAATTATGGGGAAACTTCAAGTTTTCTAAGTACTGAAAGATTATCTCTTTTTCCCATGCCTTTATGCGTTTAGTTGGGTTTCTTTCTTTTTGAAGAGGACAGAAATATGCTAAAAATACTTGATAGTTGTTTTGCCATTAACATCAGGACCAAGAGTGTGGGGAGAGAAAGGTGGGAGGGAGAAGTGGGTCAATTTTGTTTAATTAGTAGAAAAAGCAACATGAATTAGAGTCCTCTAGTGATGTCAGTGTTTCATTTTTTAATGTTCTGAGAGTATAGCGACTTTATCTACAGCAAAAGTGAGTTAAATTTTTCGATGTGACTTTTGTTTTCCCTTTCACTGGGTGAGGATGGACTCTTTAAAGGTTCTAGTAGTTTCAAACTTGGCTAAGTAGCTTTGAATTTTAATTGTAGAGGCAAATATTATCATTTATAAACAACTTGCAAGTATTAAATGGCTTATTGTAATCTACTTTTTACAGATTTCCCACCTTCAAAACTAAAGCTTGCGTTACAGCTCTCTAAATTCTTTTTTGAATTATTGTAAATTAGAAAGTGTTAGAGGTTCACACTTGTGAGTGCTCATTCTTTGTCCTTTCCTGCCCGGCAAACAGGTCCAACATTCAGAAATTCTTAACTGTTCAAAGGAAGTTGTGGAAATTCCCAGAGGTACTTTTTTTTTTTCTCTTTCTTTCTTTTTTAAGAAGGGAGAAGCCAAGCTTTCTAAAGTATAGGTTTTTAAATACTCAAGTGAGCGATATGGAAACTTCTCTGTGTGGATGGGTGCCCTCACCCACAAAACTAAGCAGCAAACATAAACTGTTGGTTGCCATTGGTCGTGAGCGGGGTGGGTGGGGGTGGGGGTGATAGTGAGATGGACGAAGGTCGGTGAGAGGGCGCTATTTCACCTACCCAAAGTAAAATCCGTGGAATATCAGCAGCAAAGTCAGGCATGATAGAGGTCAGAACCCCTTAAGCATCCCAAATCTGTAAATCACTCTAGCCTTCCTGAAAGTAAGGAGACCTACCAGCAGGACTGCCTGTCTATAAGGCAAGCATCCTTTGAATGGCTCCCAACTACCCGTGTTCATTTCAGAAAGATTGAGGAGCCCGTAGGGCCGGTATCCACATCCGCTGCAATCCTTCCTGAGATTATACTGCCCAGTAATTAACAGCAGTCTTTGGTCTCCGCCCAATAGCTTTGGGAAGAATTCCCCGCTTTCTCTTTCTTTCCCAGGCAAAGCAGCGAACTGTGATTGTTTCACCGCATCTGCGGGCCTAAGCCGCCTTTAGGCGCACAGTTCCTAGATTATGTAGCAGGAGGCTGGGAGTACAGACAGAAAATGCGAGGGTTCGACTCCCGAGGCTGGCGAGCATGGCTGGCTGTGTCCCTGGAGCTCGGTGCCCTTTGGCATTTCAGAAGGAGGGTCCACCTTCTGCGCGCGTTTCCTTGGACGAGTTCCAAATGTCCCCAGCTGTTTTGACACAGAAGAAAAGTCCTATTTCGACCCGAAGTCTGAAACCCATTTTGCTCTTCTAAGTAAAAGATAGCCCCTTCTTTTAGCCAATGCGCTCCATTTAGCTCATCGCAGGGAAAAAATCTGGGAAGAAGGTTCGCATCGCGCTCCTTGCGCTTATAGGCAGGTTTAGGGTTCCTTAAAGCCACAGGCCATCAGCTTCCACCTCTCCGCCAAGGCTCGCAAGAGTTTGCGCTCCGCGGTCCCAGCTCCTCGGCTTCCCTGGAGCCCATCCGTCCACCCCGGGCGGCCTCGGAGCCCGAGCGCCCGGCCCGGCGCGGCTGCAGCGGCGCGAACGCTGCCCCTCGCCGTCCGCGCGCCCTCGGGGATCCCGACTCCCCACACTCGCTGCGTGGGCCGCTGCCGGCCGCAGGGCGGGAGCGAGCGGATCCGCCCACGCCCCCGGTCGGGGGATGGCGCGGCGGGACGGAGCTCCGGGGTGGGGCTCGGTGGGGCTGCAGGCAGAAGCC